CCTTTCGCTGTCGGTCAGTTGCACGACGCAGCGCAAACCCAAAAGCCCAAAAACCAAAATAAACAGAAATGCGTTGCCCTTAAAAACGCCAACAACACAACACACACATACCCCCCCCCCCCATGCTCCTCTGGCCGCTATTACCTGCCCCCAATCCATATGCAGGCTGTCAGCAACATAATGTGCAATGGCAAAAAGCGAACGGCTCGAAAAATTATGCAAAATAAATTAATTACCAATTAAGGGTGAGCCACGCCGCCTTTTAAGGGGGTGAACGTGGGGTGGAGTTGGGCCCGGGGGAGGGCAGGGGGGTTTTTAGTCTGCAGCGACAGCAGGCCCTTCAAAAAACGCAGTCAAAAGTTCGGGCTCCCGATTTGCAGCTGTTGCAGGCATATGCAGAATTTTCTCTCGGCTTTTCGAGGGGTTGTTGTTGCCCAAAAAAAGGGGGTTGCTGTCTGTGTGTGTGATTGTGTGCGTGTGTGTGTGGCAAACAAGGGGCTGCCGTAACGCGTTTGTCACATGAGCCTCGGCCACTAATTAGTGTCATTAAATGCGCTCCACATGCTCGACATGCGACAACATTTGCAATACTTCAACAATCCCCTTACCCCCAACACCCCAACACCCCCAACTACCCCCCGCTTACCCCCTGCTGTGGCTATCGCCTACTTTTGTGGAGCGCATGCATAAAACATGACACAAAATTGCAGCAGTCCACTTTTGTCGCCAAATAAAAAAACCATAAACATAACTGACCGCAAAATCAACTCGGAAAATTTGTGAAAAACTGCACATGGAAGAATGACTGGGTGGGGGAGGGGGGGAGAGAGGGGGTTAGTGTGTGTATAAAACTAGCGAGAGTTTCTTATAACCGAAGTAACTTCCGTTAACTTGCGTGCAATCCTGTAATTTACCCTTCCCCCACTTCCATCACATCCACGCTCAACGAGTCTCCGCGACCGCAATTGGGGTTAAAAAGGGTTTAAGCCAACATACATATGTGTATGTATCTGTGTGTGTGTGTGTGTGTGAGTGTGTGCCTGTGTGTCTGTATAATTATGGAGTCGCAACCAAATACGAAAAGAAACACCCCTCCACCCCCTTTGGGCTGGTCAAGGGCTGGACGGCCTTCGCTTAGCAAACTAAACTGTGAAAAAGCCCGCGGGAAATGTTACCAAAAAATAAAAATAGAAAATTAAAGGGGTTCTAAGTCTATGGGTATTACTGCCATGAAAATTTGAATATTGATTGGGTTTAATGAGCGCTCTGGTCGCGCAATTAGTATGCCCTTCCCCCCTCCCTTCACCAACTGACCACCCCAGCTTAGCTGACCTGGCCCGGCAAGGTATCGGTGGCGTTTCCGTTTGCGTTTGCGTTTGCCTCACTTCGCTGGCGACACAGGCGACAAGGCTCGGAAACGGAAGCCTGCTGGGCAACCAGTGTTGACTAAGTAAAAAACAGGCGGTGGACGGGGTTGGGGGTGATTGCGGGTTTGAGCACATTCACGGTAACTCGACCAAAAAGAGATACTTAATGAAAGAGTGCGATCCCCAGCCGCTGTAAATATATTGTTTTAGTTCAGTTAGGGTGCTATTGGAGCATATTTGAATAAGGAGGAGTAGGTATTTAAATGGCGACAATAGCTTATTATAAATAATAAATACAATTGAACTCTACAAATTATTGATTATCCTAATTACACACGACACACACCTCGAAAAACAATTGATATTATAGATATTTGAACGGAGTTATAAAGAATATCAATGACGACTTCAAATCAAAGAAATTCCCCAAATCAGCAGTTGTGTCTTGAGAATTGATGAATAGTTGAAATACTGCTTAATTCAAATCGTATCATTGAAATTAAATTAAACAAAGCAGAAACGGAACGGAATAATACCCAAATAAAGTTGAATGTATTGGAACAAAATGGAATGAAACAGGAGATTCTTTTTTACGTATGGTTATTGAATTTTGTAAGGCATTGAAGCAAACTTCTCCGTTCCCATTACGTATATAAATTCTTGATCAGCTGAGTCTCTCTCTCTCTCAATTTTAAAGTGATTTTTTGTGAATTTTCGCGGAACACTGTATCATATTGCTACCATTAGAATGATCGGTGGAGAGATGAGATTTTGTATAAGACATTTATTTGGATTGGAGAACAAATTATTAACATCGGAACACTATGTCATACAGCTGCCATGGGATTTATATGTCGGCTTTAAAACTTATACATTTTGAAAACACGAAATATATAAAATCAACTTGTAAATAAAATTACAAATTACGAATTTAAAAATGTAATAAGCCCAAATTGAAAACTGAATGAGAATTAAAGAATACTTTTATGGAATAAAGAAAAAAATAATAATAGAAAATGTGAACATTTAAAACAAAATGTCAGCATTTGTAATACATTCGAGCTGAAAACTAAATACAAATTATTCTGAAATGGCTTGGAATGAGAGATAAAATGTACACAAAATCTAAAACTGAATTGAATGAAATCAAATGGAATGGAAATTAAACAAAATGAAAATGTGATTTGAGCAAGAACAAATCACGAGTTAAATCGTTGGGCGAATCTGCTCAAAAATCCGCCATGCACATTCACAATGCAATTCTGGCGATTTTTGAGCGGAAGGCTTGGAAGGAGGAGGCTTGGTTTTGAATGTAATGCATAAATTAATTGATCGCCCACGCACAGCTCAAAAACTATGAATGTCCACCGAATGCTCTGCTGCCTGCGATAAAATTGGGTACTCACAACCCCCCACTACAATCCTCAATCCCCAAACCCCAACCCCAAACACCACCAAAACCTCGCTCATAAGCTTTGGTGCCATTGAATTCCATTTCGCGATTCAATTTAGTCTAAACTAAAATAACAATGCAGTTTGCCACTGCTGGGGAAGGGGGCCGGGGTCTGCGAGTGTGTGTGTGTGCTATACTGCTGACTTGTATCATTGTATCATTGGATTCGGGGTAGAGGAAAAGGGAAAAGGGAAAAGCGGGCGTTGAATTTACATAAATTGATTTGATTGAATTTTTATGAGTGAGTTGCCCGATGCTTGGGAGAGCACTTGATGAGTTTTTGACACTGGCCACACACACACACACACAGACACAGACACACGCACACGAACTGCCACTCAATGTCTAATTAAAGTCATTGCCAGCAGCTGCAACAGCAGACTCAACCACAGTCATCTCTCGTTCTCCCCCACTCTCTTGCTCTCTCTCTCTCTCTCTGTCTCTCTCTCTGTCTCTCTCTCTCTCTCGCTCTCTCTCTCTCTCTGTGTGTGTGTGTGTGTGCCCCCTGGGCCGGGTCACAGTTGGCGCTACATGGAAACAAACCGCAGAAACAAACAACATCCACGATGGTAGCTTAATGCATTTGGCCATAGACGACGACAATTGACGCTTGGACCAGACAGCGTTACACATGAAGCATGCACCCAAAGAGGCAAGGCTGGAGGGGGTACGGGGCGTGGTTGGGCATTTTAGGGTTTCGGCCGGCATCTGGAATTGGCAACAAACTAAGTATTTAGCGCTTTGGTTTTGGCCTGATTCGAGGCTGGCCATTCCATGCCGCATGCCACAGGCCATCAACTAGAGATGGTCAATGGCTTAAAAGTGAAATTCGAATAATTCAAACAAGGCTTAAACTATGAAAAAAATTATGTTTTAATTGAAGATTTAAATAATTCATATTGTTTTATCGATGCTTCCAATTGGAATTGACAATTTGTTGACTTGTTGGGTGGACTTAGTTCGTGTCACGAATAAAGCACGACACGCACTCAACTCTACACACGAAAGTTGCTCGTTTCGTTTCATTCTATGTTCTTCTGCTGCCAATTTGTCATAAATCTCTTTATTTAAAATTGTTGGTGGCTTTTTCTGCGTTATGCTTGCATTGATTTGTGTGCATTGATTTGTTGTAATGTCGTTGTTGTTGTTGTTGTTGATGCCACTGCTGACCATTGACAGAGGCCTTGGCCATGCATTGTTATCGTTATCGAGCTATTGCAGTCAGCAATTTGCAGTGACAAATAAAGCAAAAGTGACACCAATTGGATGACAGTTATAACGGTTGCGTTTTGCTGGAGAATACCCTACAAAAAAAAGAGAAAAAATATGATATTCAACAGGAATGTTATCATAAGTTGTTGTACAATTTTTGAAAATAGTTCGAAATTGCTATTACAAATCAGATCTATTTCTGAATTCAAATCACTGCTCAAATTGCAAAAAAATTAAAATAAAAGCATTAAAAGTGTATGAAATGTATATTTGCCTCCTGTGAGGTTTGAACTCACGACCCCTGGTTTACGAGACCAGTGCTCTACCACTGAGCTAAAGAGGCGATTTGCCAACTCATCAATAGTTAGCTCAGTTATGACAAGGACCGACGCCCCCGCACCAAATACGAACGAACCGTAACAAAATGGTTAGTCGTAAACAGCGATCGAAGCTTGTGTTTTGCTAAAAATAGCACGTAACGAAAGTGTTGCTGAAGCGACACGTCGACAGCTTGATCGTGCCAAGGTCACCGCTTTCGCTGACTGTCGTTGAGATTTTGCTTGCGCCAGCGCCGGTGGCAGCGGCTCGTTGGTCTAGTGGTATGATTCTCGCTTCGGGTGCGAGAGGTCCCGGGTTCAACTCCCGGACGAGCCCTACCTTTCTTTTGTTTTGCTTTTAAGTGGTGTGCCTAACATTTTTCCTTTTTATATTATCTAAAATTTCATTTGGCCGTTTTACACGCACTTTCTCAAATATGCGCCTACAACAGTCTCGCGTAGAATTTTCCACAGTAAACATATATAGATATACGTTGCGCACAAGAGTATGCTATATTAAAAATATTAAAGTTAATGTCTGAATGGGGTTACACAGCACTGTTTGCCTACTTACAGCTGCTCAATGCCGTTATGTTCAGTCTGAAACGTAGATCAAAATTAGCGCGTCTTTTATTGTGCTTTGTTTAATATCGTTCGACATGATTTGCTATATTAACTTCAACGCTGGATATGACAACGATGACGATGCTCTAGACTTGAGCGCCGCTAACAGCTTTATTGTGCCCGTAGTACCGCATAACGGACCTACGTCCGGCAATTTTGATCAAAACAGCAACAACAACAACAACATCATTCGTAACCGCTTCATTGTGCCCCTAATACCGCCGCCATTCGATCATATCGAAAGCAGCAACAACAACAACAACATGAACAACAACATGAGCAACAACAAAAAGATCAGCAACAGCCTCAACAAGATCAACACGAAACCGCCATCGGTCTATGAAATCTACTTTGCCTCGATTAGCCATCCCAATGTACACACGCACACACACACAAACACACACACACACACACAAACACACACACACACACACACACACACACGGAGAGTAAACATAACTAATCAGTCTCTCTCTCTTTCTCTTTCTCGGTCTCTTTCGCTCGGCAGATGATGACTATGGATATAACCAAATCTGAACCCGGACTTGTCGGGCTTTCATCCAATCAGCAACAGCAGCAGTCAGCACAGCAGCAGCAACAACAGCAACAACAGCAGCAACAACAGGCAGCAAACATGAACAACAACGGGCAGAATAACAACGGCAACAACAACAACAACAATGGCCTTAGCAATGGCAATTCGGTGAACAATAACAGCAACAACAACAACAACAATAACAACAATAATAATAATAGCAACGTGCAGAACATTGCCGCTGCGGCGAACAACAATAACAACAACAACAACAACGGGAGCCAACTATGTGCCGGCTGTGGCAAGCACATCCAGGACCGTTATCTGTTGCGCGCCCTGGACATGCTGTGGCACGAAGACTGCCTAAAGTGCGGCTGCTGTGATTGCCGCCTCGGCGAGGTCGGCTCCACGCTCTACACCAAGGGCAATTTGATGCTCTGCAAGCGTGACTACTTGAGGTAAGAGCGAGACAGAGAGAGAGAGAGAGAGAGAGGGAGAGAGCGAGAGTGAGAGTGAGAGAGTCAAATGCAATTCTTTATTCTCTTGCAGATTGTTTGGTAATACGGGCTACTGTGCCGCCTGCAGCAAAGTCATTCCAGCCTTCGAGATGGTGATGCGTGCACGCACCAATGTTTATCATCTGGAGTGCTTTGCATGCCAGCAATGCAATCATAGGTGAGCTATCAATATATATTTGTATATATACACACCTGGACAGTAAAATAGGTGCGAAGACAATAGCTTGACCAGCATATCCTTTTGCATCGTTGCCAAACAAATTTATCTGATTTTCATCATTCATGAACTTTGCCCCAATCTTAAAATGTCTTATTGGTTAGACCAAAGGAACTTTAGATGACCTTGCACTAAATATTATTTTTTTAGTATTATTATTTGATAGCTGTGTTAAGCCTCGCATCTATTTCACTGTCCCCAGATCAAAATGGACTTTTAAAATTGGAATGTGCCAATCAATTTGACCGTACGCTATCTAAAGTCAGATACTTTCCATTTTCATTAGGAAACAATGTTGCCACACTTGTAAATGAATATATTGTATATTTTTGACATAATATCGCCACGTCTTCAAGCCTATTTTAATGTTCAGGTGTGTACATATCTGTATACTCGTATAAATGCATATAAAGGATATCCAAAGTTGAAGTTGTGCAAAAGTGTGTCGACAGAAGAAAGCATCTTCGATCCCATGAAGTAAACATATTCGAGGCGATCTAGCCACGTGTGTCCGTCCTTCCGTCCGCCCGTCTGAATGAACAAGTGCATCTCGTAGACTATAAGAGAAGACTAATAAGATTTAATATAAGATCTCGTGATATACGAGTGCATATCAAGTACACATTATTTTATCGACAACTTTGTCCGTTTGGCGAATTTCAATATAAAGTTTTTCATAGCAATAAAAACCGCCAAGTGAATGGTATAGAATAGTCCAGTTGATACATGATATAACTTGACATATTATTGATCAATTGTGAAAATTTGATCAAGATCGGATAATAATAATACACACGCTCAAGAAATCACCTGCCACATTTGCTAATTTTAGGGCACATTTTATCTCCTTTTTACCTCCTCCGCCGTCGTCTACAAAAACTCACATAAAATACTTATGCATTTTTATAGGCCATTTGCCTATCAGCAGCTCTACAAAATTCACACACCCTCGCCAAAGAAATCCCTTTTTAATCTTTGGCCAATATACAAAGCCAAAATGGCACTTGGAATTTTATTATTATGCAGCACAGAAACATCAGCAATAACAGCAACAAATTGGCATCATTTACAAGTTTGTTTTCTTACAACGACAGAGTCAGACACGAAGACAGGGGTTTGGTTTGCCAGCGGGCCAGGAAAGGGGGAGCAGGCGGAGGCAGCCAACCCCTTTGAGTGTCGTTGAGTTTCTATGAAAACCGCATAAATTTCGTTGGCATATTTGATTCTCGAAACCCTTCTGGGTGCCATCAACTAGTCATCGACATTGGCATCTACATACATGTATGTATGTATGCATGTATGTATGTGTGTGTGTGTATGTGTGTGTGTGTGTATGTGTGTGTGTGTGTGTACCTTATGGATATGCTGTTCATGTGCAATGAGGCCAACTGCTTGTTTCACAAATTTATTGCATTTGGCCAATTCGCTAAATGTCACTCCAGAGAGTTTTTAAAGTGCGTACACCTCGGGCCTGGTCAACAGTTTCTTTTTGTTTTTTTTCTTTTCTTTTGTGCCGTTTGCATCAATAATGCGGCCACACATATGCCGGCGTCTCAACCCCAGCCAATTTGTGCCCCTGCCCAGGCTGTCTACATTCTCGATTGGAGTTGCTCGTGCAACGAATCGCATTAAATATTAAAAATGCCGCCACACGGCATTGCCGTACAAAAATATTGAAATAAATGTTACAACATATTGGCACATTGTCCAAATTGTGCTCGTTGCCATCCAGTTCCAGTTCCAGTTTCAGTTCCACTTCCAGTTCCATACAATTGAGTTCATTTTATCCGACTGTTTGCGAATGCAATCCATGATGCTTTTGTTTTACATTGTCGAAAATTGACATTAAAAATGTAACGAAATAAAAATTCAAGGGAGAGGTGACGTGGGCTGTGGCACGTGCACCCAGCTGCATCGAGGCCCAGTTGATTCGATGCCAGGAATATGCAACTAGCTCCATTCAAATCCAATTGAAATGAAGAGTGTTTTTAACAGTTGCCTGCTAACATTAACATTCAGCTGGCTACTGTCTGTTCAAAATCTGATAATTGTATTTATTGCGTGTAAATCTAGAATTCTTTTTTCCAATGACAGTATTATACAAAAGTATGAAGTTTAGAGTCTGCGCGAGTCAACTAAATCACGAATTTGGGTGGCTGTTGTTATATATACACATGTACATATGAACTATATATGATCTATGTTAACGGACAACTAACTAATCTGTTAACAGACTCAAGCAACTAAGATTTGTTTGTGTACAATAAATTGGATGTGACGTCACCCTCGATGCACAAGAAATATGTATGTGCTAGTGTTTTATAATATAATTAATAAAAATATAAATAATATTGTTCATAGTTTTCATAATTGCCCACATTTTTCTCTACGAAACACGTATTTTTTTTTTTAAAGAAAACTGTTAACATCAATCAGAAAATAGTATAATTTAAAAGTGCGCACTTTGTTCACAACGATTGAATTCTCTCTTCAAGCTGCTGCTGATCAGATGAATGCTATCAATCGATATCGATATCATATGTTAAGTACATAGTTGCATGTTAAATTACAGATGTTATGTTACATTACAGTCTTAGTACTGGCCCACTATGGGCAGTGGCCTGCTATAATAAGTTGGTTTTATTTGATTTTGTGTGTGCAATTTCTAGTTTGTGAATTATATATAGCAGCCTGTGTATCCCCTAATTCTTGAGCATTACTTCTATTCTGTTAGATATAGACAATATCAGTTGCCGAAAGATTTTAATGGGATTCAAGACGGGGGACTGACTTAATGACCCCCAAATTTTTGCCTTGAAACTTCGATTATTGTCCTGCTGAAATTTTTATATAAGGCGCATATTTTCGTCAACAAATGGCAACATAACATAACATTTTTTTTTCTTTGTCTACAAATTTATCCAAAACAGCATCAAATCGATTTATCGGGCATATCTTGCCACGAAAAGTATCCCCAAACCCAAATATATTCTCTATTCAGCATTGTAGTGATGGGCTCGACCTATCTAACATTACGTGAGAGTTCCATTAAGCCTTTATTGCAAGGATAATAGACAAATCAGACCTGTTGAAAATAGAACCATTTTATGCAATACACACCCATTTCGCTGTCCAGCACAATTTGCACTTTTGACCACAACAATTTGACCATTAAATTTGGGTCTTTTTGAAAATCCAGAAGTGAATCTACTTTGGTGGCTGTCGTGGTATTTTTAAGAGTTATCTGTTGGCAGACTCTTAAATTCGGCATGCTGCTGCAATAAAGAGACCGCCGCTCTTTGAGCCCTTTGGAGCATATTTGTTTTTGTTTTCTTTGCACCTCATTCCACAAAAGCTTTCGGGCTCTTGCAGTAATGTGTACGTGGCTCTAACGTAAATAAATTCAATTATCAAAAAAGTCATTGAGCCGTGGCCGCATGGCCAGCGGGTAGTCTGCAATGTCCACGCAACCACGCACAACTCACCCCCAATTCCAACCCCAACCCCTACCCCTACCCCAACCACCCCCTTATCAAGTCAGCTCCCAAAGTTGTTGTTGGTCGCGCAATTCAAATTTAATATGCGGGCCTTCACTTGCCACATTATGAACCAGCAGCGGCAACAACAAAATGTCGCTTTGCACTTTTTTTTCTCATTTGTATTTGTGTAAACCAAAGTGCATCAAATGTTTGCTGTTGGTTTTTTTTGTTGTTGTTTATTTTTATTTGTTATTTGTTATTTGTAAGCTGTTGCTGAAAAGTTTGCATAATTTCCTGCTGCCAGCATCGACGACGTCGTTAGTTGAGTGGCAGCTGTGGCCGCGCGGGCAGTTGGAGTGGCAGTGGAGTAAACACAGCGCAAAGTTTGACAGTAAATCTTTCCTTTTCGGCAAGGAGAAAGAGCAAAGAGTGAATGAGAAAGAGAAATAGACGGAGAAAAAGTGAGAGAGAGGGAGGGAGGGAGAGAAAAAAGCAGCGTGCGCCATTTTAACAATTTTTGTATTTCCTGTTGACAATTTGTTGGTGGTCTTCGCTTGCCCGGATGTATGATTCCTGCACACACACTTGTACCCACACACACACACACACATGTGTGTGTGTGATGGTGTGCATGATGTCACAGGTGCGTTCAATGCCATGGCTAAAAAATGTTGTTTTTGCTGTTCATTTGTATACATTGTTGACTCAGCCGTTTTTTTTGTTGTTTTGGTAGATAAACGAAGCGTAGACGACAAGAGCAGCAGCGTGCCACGCCCACACAGCCCACATACAGATACATATACGTATACATATGGTAGAGTCAGTCCGTCAATCGATTTGCTGCAACGCCAGCAGCCAAAAAGAAAATGAAACAAAACCAAAAAAAGTTGACGTAAATCAAAAGCCAAATTTCGTATCCGCTGTAAGTCTGCTGTAAGCTGCTTTACCCAGACTCCCTCACTGCCCCATTCTGGCCAGATGGGGTACATGTACTTGTCAAACATTAAAATGATGCACTGCAACACATCGAGTAATGCTAAAACAGGCAACAAGTTGGACACTCTAAAGAAATATATACGCATGTATATGGAGACTTAGCTACTGATTGGGATTTATATATTTGGGCATTTTTTATAAGTAATGGAGTATTACAAAAATTAACAGTTTTTAATGAAACATTCTGATCGAAAACAGTTCTTTAATATTTATCAAAAATTGTTCAATTTTTTATGCTGAAAAGATGGAATTTCACAAAGTTGAAGTCAGACTCTGAAAAGTTATATTTTCTGCTAAATCCCAACATGTTAAATATAATATAAATAAAATATAAATATACAAATAAATCAAAATATAAATCAAACTCGGATTTATTAGGTATAGTTAGCGACAGTTTTGTGCATTTTTTAAGCGCAACGATGCCAATATTCTATGCAAATAATTGAAACCTTTCTTCCTTTGTAGCAGGAAATTATACTCAATTCCTTAGGTTAGAGTATCCAATTGGTCGTAGCTCTGTTACTACTTTTACTCTGCCTTGTTTGGATTGTAATGCGAGCTGTTGTGTGCTGAATGTTGGGCAACTGTTGCGGAGACACCGTCCTTCCTCCTCCCCCTTCCCCCCCACCTCCCTTTTTTCCTAGCTGCTACTTCAGAGTTGCGTTCCAACTTCACTCTCCACACTGACTCTTGTTACTGTACAGGTGCTAACATAAATATTTTGACAAAGGGCTTCATGTAGCACACACACACAGACACACACACTGTTTCTCGACTGAAAATGGGCGACTTTATTTGCAACTGGCTGAATGCACACTGCATTTCACTGGGGCGGAACTTGTTGTACTCCTGTGTTCCGCGACACCCCCTACTTCCCAACTCAAACCCCTTAATTCTGTTATACCTTTCGCAGCAGCAACAGCAGCAACAGCAGCAACAGCAACAGCAGCAACAGCAACAGCAGCAACAGCAGCAACAGCAGCAACAGCAACAGCAGCAGTAGCAATGCTCAATTTCAGATCTGTGGTGCACTTCCGCCTGTTGCCTCGTGACATTTTCAAATGCTTATCTGACTTCCTTTTGAGCCGTCATCATTCAGATTCTGATTCTCAAACCGCTCGTCAACAACAATCGCTGTTGCTATTGCTGTTGCCGCTGTCATGCTTCCTTGCTTACTGGCTTGTGTCCTTGTGCTTCTGTCCTTCAGGCTTGTCTTCGTCTGCTCTTTTGTTTCAGCCAACTCAGTTCCTGGCCATTCACCATTCTCCATTCACCGTTAACCGCTGTCAATTGCCATCTTTGTGCTGTCAGTCGCTTACAGGCTTAAGCATGTGGAAAAATCGTTTCCAGTTAGTTCCTGTTCAACTTGAAATTTACTTCCAGCTTCCTTCTACCTGGCAATACTCCTTCACCTTCAAGAATGATATTATGCTGGAAATCTGAAGAAAACAGTTCAAGAATGAAACTAACCTTATACTTGATAACTTCATTCATATTCAATGGTTGTGTGGAATACTGTAATACTACTGATAATGGAAACACTCTCTTTAATTTATAATATGCCTAATGAACCTCTTGGGAGAGTTATAATATTCAAATTCCATTTGATTCGTGTCGATTCCTTGCTAAAACTAGCTCACATCATTTGCTTCTCTTGCTTTCAGATTCTGCGTTGGCGATCGTTTCTACCTATGCGAGAATAAAATACTCTGCGAATACGATTACGAGGAGCGTCTGGTGTTCGCCTCGATGGCCAATCATCCGATGCTGAAGCGTCACGTCTCGTCTCTGGGCCAGGGGTCGCCAACTGGGGCTGCGGGCGCCGCTGGCGCTGCTGGTGGATTGCTGGGCGGTGGGCCAGTTGGCGTTACTGGCGGCGCAAATGTAAATGGCGGCACTGGCATTATAAATGGGCCCCGTACACCGGGCGACCACAATAACAACAACAATGGACCGCAAACGCCCACTGGAGGTGGCGGCGGCTCACCATTTGCGGCCGCCGCAGCGGCAGCAGCTGCTGCCGCGCACATGAAGAATCAGCTGGGGGCGTCCAGCTAAAATAAAGCCCTGGGCATGAGCGGCAGCAGCGGCGGCAGCAGCAGCTCTGGTCAGCAGTTCTATGGAGCCGCCGGCTTTGGTCTGCATCATCATCATCAGCAGCTGCAGCAGCATCAACAACATCAACATCAACAGCAGCAACAACAACATCAACAGCAGCAACAACATCACCAGCAGCAGCAGCAGCAGCACCAGCAGCAGCAGTTCATGGGCTTGGGCTTAGGCTTGGGAGTGGGGATGGGCGTGGGCGTGGGTGGCGTTGGGGGTGGTGGCGGAGGCGGAGGCGTTGGCAGCATGGGTAGCAGCTGCAAGCGCTACCAAAGAAAGTTCTACAATCGCAACTAAACAGCCCAAATGCACTCAATGAATGAAACACTATAGCTTGATATATGGAAATACACAGCATATATCGATATATATTTATAATATTCATATAAACCATAAAATGTTCGTTTTGCTTTGACTGAGTTGAAGTTTCATAGTTTTAATTAGTTTGGCTTTTTTCTAGCTACCTACCACTATAAGAGTATGTATATTCTCTATAATATATTTACGTCCCATCTGCAGTTTTGGACGCGTCGATTCATTTTTCTTTGTATCACCATGATTTTTAACATTGAAGTGACAATATGCATAAGTTTTAATTATTACAAAACAAAAACAAACAAAAAGGAAGAAAACTGTTTTTATTCTGATTTAGTGTTCCCTTAAGCTCTGTAAATATTTTGCGTGCAGCTTGTGCTAAGAAGAATGTAATGTATTTAGTTATCACATATATGAAAAACAAAACTGTTAAGCCGTTAATATATATTATATATTTTTTTTCTGTACATTTTTAAGTCACAGCACCGCTCTATGTACGGGATATACATACATAGACATGTATACTTTTTTTTTTAAATATCTTTTACGCTCGAAGCGTGCGGTGCCAAAACAACTCAAAGCAGTGCCAAAAAAAAAAAAAATAAAAATATTAATTAATAAACAAAGAAAGAACGAAACACGAAAACATCAAAAACACTTATTAACGGCATAAAAACTATTTTAAATGGTTTTAAATATTTATTTTGCTATTATTATTTAGGAATTAAAATGAAAACAAAATAGAGCACAATCAAGCTTCTCTATGACGAATTTAAGTACATTGTACTTAAGACAACTGGACCGCATTTGACGCATCCTTACTCTACTCAACGTGTCATCAGACTTTGATACTATTCAAAACGATATTCGAATTGCTGTTGAAGGTTTTTGTTTCTGAATAAATATGCTCTAGCTAATGTATGCTCTGCATCAAATTACTTAGTTGATTCTCAATAAAAAATCTCATTGCGGCTTCAATATCTTTCGAGAGTTGTTTCGAGTTCGTTATAGATAAGTTTGACTGTTCAAATTGAAAGAAATTTGTTGAAAATCCCCACCGACCATTTTTTATTTTTATTTTTATTTTTTTTAATATTTTTAAACATTTATTATATTTATGTATTGTTTGGTTTGGAACTTCATTTCGATATAATGGCCGCCAGATGTAAAATAAGCTGAGAAATTGGCTTTTTATTTAATGTGTAAATATTTAAAATATTTATATTTTCTATATGTGTACTACAACTTATTTTTCACGTTCATTTTGAAGTCTGTTAGAGCCACATTGTTGATTATTATTTAAGTTTAGTTAGTGCGAGGCTAAAAGATTGCAACAAATCGACATTTTTTTTTTACTTAATGAAAAAATATGCTAAATACAAAATATAAATATAATACAGAAGTTAAAGTTAAAGAAGCCTTGGAATAAGTATAACAAATGAAGTAAATAAAGGCTAGACTATGCAAGTGTAAAGATTATAAGAAAATATTAAGTAAAATATGATATGTGTATAAACTAACAAAATATATATGAGAAAACCGCAAAACGAAACAAACGCAAACAAAACTAGTTACAATATAAATGTATTTATTAATATGATATAAATCAATTTTTTTTTATTATTATAATTATTCAATATGCATACTTAATTGTCAGCAACTCATGCGATTCCATATAATCTATAAATACTTGAAAACTAAGTGTTAAATTAAAAATGAGAAATCTAAAAAAAAAAAACAAAAACGTAAACTAGTAAAAATATTTACGTATTAATAAAAAAAATATATATATCCAAAACAATTAATACAATTTGTAAGCCGTAAGCGAAATGCAAAAGCAGTGAAAAGAATAACCAAAGTGTGTATAAGCAAAAAGCAAAAAGAAAAAAAAAAACAAAAAAAAATTATTCAATAAATATGCATTAAATACTTATATATACACAATACTACCTACATGTTAAATAAATGTAAAATGCATAAGCGAAAATTTTTTTTAATGCGCAACGTCAAGAATCAAAAGTATCTAAAATTTAAGTTACACATACAATGATATAGGACCGTATTGAATGAAAAATGTACGCCGCGTTGCGTTTAATTTTAGAATAATGCAAAACAAAGAAATCAAAACTGACAAAATACAAAAAAAGCACACACAAAAAAAAAACAAAAAAACAAAACACAAGTTTTAAAAAAGAAAACCAAAACAAAAATAAAAATAAATGTAATTAACAAACATTGAAAACAGTTGAATTTTTTTTGGTTGGGTTACAGTACAATTGAATTTGGAGACAAATTGATTAAACTATCGTAGACTCACATTGATTACATTTCGCGGTTCCATTATGATCAAATTGCCACTTGATTTCAAAAGTGCGAAATCACAAATAAAACAATTAGATCAAGTATAAGACACTCTATAACCACTTTTCGGCAAACCCAATAACTAAGGGACCAATTTAAAAATGAAACTGATTTCATTCCTTTTTTTGCTTTTAGCAATAAATTAAAAAAAAAAAAATTCTTTTGTATTTTAAGAATGTTTTTTTAAGAAATGTGTTTATAGTGCAACCAGGCCATAAGCCAAACAAAATTCAAGAAAAACTACTAATAACAGTGAAATTGATATGGTCTAATGGTTAATAATCTACACTTTTCAATTGTTGGCCTGCTTTTTAAAGCTATAAGCATTTGCTGCAAAATGGGGCTTGGCGTGAAATTAGCTACATTGCCTGCACTTAAATGTGCAGCTGGTTTTGTTATTGTTCCTATTGCTATTGTTGTTTATTGTTGGTTGCTGTTGATGCCAGCGCTGTCAATTGGCATTTTGCTTTGCATGCTCGTGCTTGACATTTGTTGACTCTTTCGCTTTGACAGCCATTAATCACGGCATTGTTGTTGCCAATTTCAAATCCACACGCAGACACACAGACATTGGAAGGAGGGGGTTGTGTTAGCCCGGGGGTTGTCTGATAAATGATGCTTCATATTTTGGAGCTGACTGCAATTGAAATAATAAAACGGTTTGTGCCCCACCCAACTTGCCTGCAATTGCCGTTGCTTGCCGCTTGCCACTTGCCACTTGATTAATGAAACTTTAAAAGGGAACACGCGTCCTTTTTGTTGTTGCTGTGCCGCTTTTGTCTGTGGCAGCGGATGCGCGCAACTACAGCGACCGCAAAAACTTTCAGATAAGCGATCTTTTCAATATATCCATGAAGAATATATACACATACACAAAGATTATATGTGTGTGTATGTGTGTATGTGTACGTACTCGACGAAAAGTTTTGGCGTCTTATTGGTTTCCCTTCGATGTGAGTAGAGGCAAAAGGGACTTGGCGTCGCCGCTGCAGGCCATAACAATAAAAGTCATTTATAGATTTCGATTTGTGCGACGCGCTCATATGTGAGACATACCCTGCCCTGCCCTGCCCCTGGGGAGATTGCACTACCCACCCCACCCGCTGCTATCAGAGGCATAAGTTTGACGTTGCATAGTTTTAGGCTGCTTATCAGCACTTTTGTTTTATTGTGTGTGCGACTGCTGTGGTTGCTGCGGCTGCTGGTGGTTGGGCCAGCACAAAATGTTGGTTTCCTAGGGCCAAGAGGAAACTGGTATCTGGAGGGAGGGGATGCGGGGGAGTCGCCTTTGTTTTCGACATTGGGTGTCATAATCAGTATAATGCTTATGAAAATGTCTTTTGTGCCGTTTGCCGCTTATCAGCAAATATACGTAGCGAATACGGAGCGTTGTTCTCATCGTCCTTTTGTTTACGGCTCCATCGTGTCGCCGCTCCATCGGAATCCATAAAAATAATGTTTCAATTTGGTACGCCTTCCATCCCGGGCACTGCCTCATTTACTCTCTGTCAATCACAAAATGATGAAAATGATGTGTTCACCAAAAATGTGGATGAAATGTATGATAAAAACAAATCGTTGAAATTCTCTATATAAAAAGCCCTTATTCTAAAGTTTTCTCCTTACGCTTATCAACATTTTAAATGTTTAGTAGAAATTGTTTTCCATTACTTAGGGTTACTTAGGAATAAGGAACGATTCCAAAATATTTATGTTGTATTCTGCTCTTCTAGCTACTATATGTTTTCAAGATTAAAATTCATTTAACCAAACTGTTACCATTTGTTAAGAACGGTTTGGTTTACTTGTATATATTATATAAATTAGTCTGAGTTTGATTTATGCACATCATCCGAGGTGATGTATTTTCTTTTGCTCACTTTGATGAAAGACATATAAATGTTGCATACCTTAACTTATATTGCTTTAGCTACACTGATTTACCATCCAATGAAATAATGAAATTAATTCTACAACTTGAAGGTTAGTTGCGACTTGGAATATTTTAGTAGGATACATTTTTCTTTAAGATATGCTGTAAAGAGAAAAACTCCCAAATGTGCGAAATTCAAATATGATTTAATGTATTAATCCAGTAAGAATACCGCAATCGACAGTGCTTTACTAGAAGATACCCTGTATCTAAGTGTTAATCAACACTTATTGCCACATATTATCAGAAAAGGTTAAGCAAGTGTGCATTTTTAATGGCAGGTATTTTTGGATGAATGTTTTCTGAAAATGGCTGAAAATACACAAGTATTTTCGATGTTGTGAAAAATGTGGTAAATGTCATAAACAGTTAACATTTCAAGAAAGGTAAGCGCTTCTTTGTAAAATACAATTATGACTTGACTAATTTGTTCTAATATAATATACATTAATGCTGAAAAAATTGTTTATTTTTTTCTATCTGATGGTTTTTGCCCGCTCTTATATTTTAATTAATTGTTTTATTTTTTTTATCGCAAAGACAAATAATAAAAAACCGATCAGCTGTTTTATTTGAATCAAGCGGAATTTTTACACCTCACATGTTAACGACAGCGGAGACTCATAATCGAATTGCAATATATAAAGAATGTGAATATGTGTGTGTATTTGCACAGCCTCACAATACTCTGCTTACCCATTTTGAATGCAGTGCCGGAAAAAGTGTAAGTCGAGAAAATAAGTTGTCAGCGTGGGTTGACTTGTGTCCCAAGTGGCAGCAAGTCGAGCAATACAAACAGTGACACT